CTGTAAATACACTTTGGGGGTCCTCTTCTATTAATGAACCGTCTGAGAAGATTGATGAAACAGTCAGTTTCCAAAGAACTGGCCAATTCAAGGTGAACCGCCCTGGAGTTTAAGCACGTGAATATAGCTCCCCATCTCTTTACTTGGGATCTTCCCCTCTTTACGTTGAGCGGGCCAAAATAATCCACACCCGTGTGTGTGAAACATGGCTCAAACGCAGTCATACGGAAGGTAGGTAGAGATGCCATCATCTGCTCCATTCRTACGGCGTTGTACTTCTTACATGCTAAGCACGCACGTACCACTTTGCGGACCACTGATCTTCCCTTTGGTATCCAAAACTTCTCTCGTAGTTGAGCTAGGATGTGATCTTGACCAATTCCGTCAAACGATAAACTTTACCCTTTTCTGTCAACTTGGGTTGTCTTTTTTCCAATGGTGGTTTGCCTTTGGCGAGGTCGGCAACGTTGGTCCATCCGACGTCCAATACATCGTGTCCATTCCAATCTTCCGTTTCTGACCGCGTGCTCCCAAACACGTCTTTTGATCGATCATTCTCATCAGAATTCGCGATCGGTGGCAAGGCAAATTCATGACTACCTTGTATATCTTCCTTTGATCCTTCGATCTTGGTTGAATTCTCGATAGGCGACTCGGAACCATCCTCGAACATCGCTTCTCTTGAATTTCGCAATCACGGCGACTCGTCACAAACGTCGAGATCACCTCCAAATTTTGCAAGTTTAACCAGAAAACTTGAGCAATTTCTCATCGAAATCGCTAGACTAGATGTTACTGTAGGCACTAGGTTGCTTGTTGTTTACTCGCCAAGACAATGAGTTTAATTTTCCATTGAAAACTAACATAACTCTTACAAATGTGTTCTCTGGTAACATCTTTGCCGCCTAGACAAATGACATGATTTACATAATGTCACGTGATACTTGAAAATTTGCATAATCTTGAATTAGCCGCTACAGTAGTAAAATACGCCGTATAACATACAATTGTAACTTTACTGATACTCTGTACTCTGGATGGACAAAATAATGGGGCAATTTCAAAGTTGAGAAAATTAAAATTGCGCCACCGAAAAAGCGCCATATGCAAAATGTTTATTAGAAATTTGATAACACAATTTTGTGATACTGATATGATAGCTTTCGGATTGGGCAAAATAGTGGGACAGTCTCAAAGTTAAGCAAATCAAAATCGCACTACTGAAAAGGCGCCAAATACAAAATATTTGTCAGAGATTATTTTGGCTCCATTCTCGTGAGACTCCAGTCGTGAACAGAGCTTTGTCGATCTCCCAAGCATTCTATCTTACCGACACATCGCAACTTATATAATTAAATACAAAGTGAAAATAGCAATCAGTTCATTCCCTGAACGTCCAATGGAGCAAGCTTCAGCAACAAGAACCAATTCAGTGAAAAACCTTGCCCATTCAGGTAAGTAATCAACACTATCATTTATCAAACTATCGTACTGAACTATTCAACAGCAAAGTCATGCTTTTACACTCGTAACAACCCTCATTAAATCCTTGAAATATATTGTATTTAAGGTGATGGTCTTAACACAATAGACCGTCTGCATCAAGAAAGTGACACTGAATGGAGTGATGTCGATATCGATCCAGTAAGTTCAATATTACTGTAACTCGTATATAGACCAAATGATTTAAAAGCTTCGTCATTTGTGAAGTCAGGCCTTCTTACCCATATATCTATAATATATTGACTATGACATTGCGCCTCATTAGACTTACGCTGACATATACGCGTAACACAAGCCTCCACAGGACAGTCGGAATGTCACACAATATTTTACTTTGAGTTTCTTGTATTATTTCTATGCACTCAAACTGTCCTTTAATGACAAAAGAACTAGTCTAAAAACCCATTTATTCATCATTTTCATTATTTTCTGATTACCATTGTGATTGCTTTTTATCAAGGTAAACGAAAACTCACTACAAGAGATTAAGAATGTTAAAAAGAAGACGGTCAGAAGGAAAAAAAAATGCAAAGTACAAGTCGGGCATCTTGAGGAAGCTCTGAACACCAAATGTTGTGCAAGGAAATGCCTCACTGTTCTGTCATCTAGACAAATACAGGAGTGCCTACGCGGGTTCTGGGAAAGAACGGAGGAAGGCCAAAGGGCATTTATAATTGATTATCTGCACTTTGCCTGCGTTCCGGGTGAATGTCCTTCGACTTTCCGATATGAATACAAAGTTAAAGGACGGAACGTGTGCCAGAAAGCATGGCGGATGTGCTGCGGTATAAGCAATGGCAGGTACGTTCACCAAGCATCATTGCTCGCTGAACTTAATTTATAACAGGAAAACATTCAGATAATTAAAATATTGTTATTCCTTTTGAAATCATTTTTTCCTTATATTTTTTTACAAAAACTTTGATAGCGTGTTGTTGTTGTTGTTGAAATTTCTCTTGCTGAGATCTCAAACGACTAAACACTCATTCATTTCCTTTATTCCACAGATTACACAATATAAAAAAATGTTTGAGCGTGAAGATGGTTCAGTTTCTACCCGAAATATGCGTGGCTGTAATAGTAAGCTTTCAAGATGCATGATTACAGCACAGTTATGGTTTGAAAAGTACGCAGAGACGACAGCTGATCGCATGCCAAACGAAAAAAAGATGCATCTCCCTTCCTGTGTGACAAAGCGTCAAGTGTTTAAGACATACCTGGAAGCATTCAAGGGTAGAAAAACCTTAAGTGAGACCCAATTTCGCAGAATGTGGGCACAGTTTTACCCATATGTAATCATTCCAAAGGTAAGCTAGAACTAACAAACAGTGCCATGCTCTGTTTGTGTTATTTTCCATTTCATCATTACAGATTTGGTACAAATTTGTATAAGTTCTTCGTAATTGCACGAGCTCAGTAGGACGAGTGCAATTTGAGAACTTTCAAAACATAACGAGTGACTATCAATTTCAAATTGTACGACAGGTGTACGACCATAATTCGCGTTCATTCGAGCATTTTCCTTTGATGTTTGTTTTCATTCCATAAATTTTAAAACACAGCAAACAGACGTGTTTGATGAGAAAATATAATGATTTGTAAAATTTTCATGACGAATAAATTGATACTCCAAAGCAAAAGGAGTACAATTAAAGCTTTAATTGTGCTCCCCTCGACCAATGAAAAAGTATTATTTAGTTGGTCTAATTATTTTATTGGAAAAATACACCTAATATAAACTCTTGTCATTGCATTGTTATCAATGCTTTCTAGCTTAACATTTGTTTAACAGTGTATGTACTTCATCCAGACTAACAGATTTACGAAGTGTGGTATATGCACTCTAATAAAAGACAATGTAATAAAATTGAAGAATAAAAAGAGGAAGTTAAGTTGGTTGGAAATCAAGAAAGTCCACCTGTTCCAACAATGGTAAGTCAATTTATTATCTCTAGCACTATCCCTTCATTTATGTTCAGTTAGTTTATTTATAACTAAAAATCAATTTCTTCACTTTTGCATTACGTAATAAATCCGTTTACTTAGAAAATTTTGAAAAAAAACCATATATGCAATTTCTCAAGTAATTCGTCATTCCAGATTATCGATGTCAGATATGTAGATGTTAGTCTATCCGAGTCATTTAATGAGATAAAGTACTAGTAGAAAAATTGAGAAAAATAGAGAAAAATTGTTTTTCAGCCGCGAGAGGAAAAAGTATTATAAGCATCAAGAAAAGGCAAGAAAACGGCCGGAGAAGTATCTTTCCATCATCATGGATGGCATGGATCAGGCCAAAACAAACATTCCCCACTTTAGGATTCCCTCCAAGGTACAGTGCGATTATACATCGAATGTATTTGTTAAAAAGCTCGATATTCTTGCACAGGGCCTCTTACCGAGGCACGAAGTAGAAAATGCGCCGTGTTTTTTGCTTTTGTTTTCTGTCAATGTCAAGTTTTGGATCATTCTTATTAAACTATTAGTTCAAGTTTTGTGTGAAGTCATCATAACTCTAAACGGTTATCAAATAAGTGAATTCAGTGTGTACTGTCATTTTTAATATTACACAGATTGATGGAGAGCATGCAAACTTTTTAAAAGTACATGTCACTGGTGTGCTCTCCCATGGAAATAACTTGGCCATTTGTCTCTTGGACTTTGGAAGATGGCCTCAGGATGCTAATGTCACCGCAAATGCCCTGTTGACTGCTTTAAAAACTGTCAAAACGCAGGTTCGATATTTTTAAACTCATTTTATCTTTATCTCATATTTTGTTTTTTTGATGTATAAGACATACGGAATATAGCAGTTATATAATTTAGAAGTCATTCAATTCAATGCATCTTCTCATTGATCCTACACTTTTCCGGCATTTAACCGTAGGCAGGAAGCATACCTCCTGTTCTTTACTGGCAAATGGATAACTGCTTCCGTGACTGCAAAAATGTTTACATTCCGGCTTTTTGTGCTTTCCTAGTCAAAGCACGTGTATTTAGAAAGGTACGTCCAAATAAAGCATAAAAGAACAGTTTGTGTCTTTGAAACTGCATCACACGATGCGGTTACAACACTGTTGTGTCTGCGCAAGGAACCAATAAAAATAAATTGAATATTTTCAGATTCGATTATCGTATCTTATGGTAGGTMATACCCACGAAGATGTGGATCAGGTTAGTTCTTCGTTAACCGATAATCGTTACTAATTGTCAATGTTTATTAGTCATAAAATACATCGAAATTAATCGAAAATGTTTGACATATCTCTTTTTAGAATCCCATCCAACGAACTCATGCAAACATATACAAACCGTTTCTTTTGTAGATGTTCAGCAGAATTTCTGTCTCCCTGAGGAAAGTTAATGCGTGTACTCTCAAGGGACTCAGGAAAGTGATTTCAGAGAGCTACACGCCAATACCATCAACAATACTCATGGAGAATATCTATGACCTGAAGGAGTGGCTGTTGCCATACATTATATCCCCTTTCTTATCACAGCCAGCCACATGCCTTCAGGTTTAAAGAGAACTCCATGGGTGAAGTGGAGATGAAGTACAAGTTGTGGGCTGGTGAAGAAAAGAAGCCTTGGCAGGCCATGAAGGACGGAAGCACCGTTGTGCTGGACAGACTTCCCCCAGGAACACCCAGTGTAATGAGGCCTGAGAATGAGGCCAAAAACTGCCCAGACCCTGAAACAATGGACTGTAAGGTAAAGCATCTCTCACAAAGAATGACAGGCGAAGATGTACAATGGTGGAAGGAGTTCATTGAGTCTGAGAGAAGAAGGCGCGTTGTCTGGGAGGCAATGAATGGAGAAGACTACCAAGAAGCTGGGAAGTCCTTCAGCGTTGCTTCTCTGCAATGCAGAGAGTGCTCATCTGAAGGGGAGACAGACGATGAAGACCTCTTGAAAACTGAGAGCCATTTAGAACACTTATTAGCAAAGAGCTTATCTATGAAACCAGTACGTCCAAATATTAAACATCAACTTTGTTGACAGGTTGGCAAGATTCTTAATTGTTTATATATTCATTTTTTATTGTAGATCGTCAGAGGCAAATTAGGAGGCTTGTGCAAAAAAGGAAAGCGGAAAAAGAAATCAGTTGAAAGTACGAAAAAAAGACAAAGGAGAACAAAACAGCCCAGAACAAAACAGCCCAGTTAAGAGTTTCACTGGTACAACGTTGTATAAAATTATATGAATTTGAATAATCTTTACATTTCTGAATCAGAAATACCTGATTTAAACACCTTTCTTTCTTTGCAGGGTGAACGAGAGTCCCACTGAATGAACTCTATACAGTGCATGCTGATATTATTAATATAACAATGATAAATATAATAATTGATATAATAATTTCACTTAATAATTTGTAAGCTAATAATAACTTTATCTTTTAACATTTATTCTTAATTAATATCGTTTTTTACTATTTTCCAAATTTTGTGAATCAATTCGAGATTATTTAACGGTTAGGCTTGCGGAATAATGCGGCTCGAAAACTCGATCAGTATTTTATTGCTCTTTAAGGGCATGTTTAAGGGATAAAAGGTATAAACTATGAAACTGCCAGGAATATGAAACCATATCTCTGTAAACCGAATAACAAAAAATTGTGAATCCAGCTATAATCTCCATCGAATTTAAACAGCCCCCGCATAACCTTGGTACACATTTCTGCTAACAGATGTCTGTACTAGTACATTTTTTAAAAAAATACTGGATATTTTGATATGGAGTATTAAACCAGGGACGTGATTAAACGGGGACAGTTTTCAGTATAGACTGTATTCTTAATTAATTCGCGGTTAATTCTCTAAATTACCTAAATACATAATTTAGTCTGGGGTTTAAAGATTCAAAATATCTAGGCCAAAAAGACGTTACACCGCACGTTCTCAATTACAATACAAGAAATTATGATGAGCAAAAAGAAAATAAATTCTGATGGACTATTTCCGCATAGCACGAATAAAGGTAAACCGGGATATAAACTACCTGTTATTTTAACTAATCAGTATAGAGTGGATGACAGCGACAAGCTTGTCAACATTCCACACGGTGTTGATAAGTGTGCTCTTACGTGATTGGCCAAAATTACGAGACAGTCTCAGCAGATTAGCATCATAAAGCTGATCTTTGGAGACACAATGGAATTTAAAATACTTCTTGGTTATAATCTATAATACTTTTCCAAGATGATTATAATACTTATAATGAGATCCTTTTGCTTTTACAACTCAATTCTGGAGGTTAGAAACAAACGGAGAATTTGAACTGTGAAGCAAGCTGCAGTATATTTATAAATCCCGTATTGTTAATCAACGCATATGTTGTGGTTCAATTCAATATTAGACTTTATTGCTTGTAATTTCGGTTCATTCGATTCAGGTCGGGTCGGGTCGAGTCGGGTCTTTTTACCTACTTCACAATATTCTTCACTTGAATTTATATGATACACTTATGTTTACATAGAGTGATGCAATCGGTTGCATCACTCACGCTTATATGTCAAAACTATGTGATAATGCATGCGAGACTAAACATAGCCCCCGCCTTGAAGCACTATAGCTTCGAAAAACAAAATAATACAAAAAATGAAATGTTCTCAAAGTTCAATGTTCAATAATATTATACGATAAATGTTCAATTATTCATCTTCTTCTAGAATCGACACCAATTTTGATATCGGTCTGGTATAAGTTCCATTCTGCGTCTTTACGGTGACAACTCTGCACTTTCCATCTTGACCAAAATGAAGGTCTTCTACACGTCCAAGAACCCACTTCGCTGGGGGTGTGTTCTCTTCCTTGAGGATCACCAAATCATTTTTCTGTAGGTTTCTTTTCTCTTTCCTCCATTTCACACGTTGTTGAAGCTGATTGAGATACTCTTTAGACCATCTTTTCCAAAAATGCTGATGTAACTGCTTTAAGTGTTGCCATCTGTTTAAACGATTTACCTTGACTTCAGACAAATCCTCTTCTGGCAATTGGTTCAGCGGTGTCGTTATCAGAAAATGACCGGGCGTTAGCGGTTGAAGATCAGTCGGGCTCGACGAAAGAGGAGTGAGTGGTCTTGAGTTCAAACAAGCTTCAATCTGACATAGAGTAGTATACATCTCTTCATAAGCCAAACTTACATTTCCCAGAACTCTACGGAGGTGATACTTCATACTCTTTATCCCCGCCTCCCACAAGCCTCCAAAGTGACTTCCTCTCTGCGGGATGAAGTGCCATTCCACGTTATCTTGTTGAAGATAAGTTGTAACCTTGTCGTTGTGCTCCTCTGAGGCAATAAGGCGGCGAAGTTCTTTGCGAGCGCCAACGAAATTGGTACCATTGTCACTGTACATAGCCTTCGGTTTCCCGCGTCTTGCGATGAATCTCTTCAATGTTGCGATGAAAGCTTCAGTACTGAGACTTGTAACCAATTCTAGGTGAACCGCTTTAACCGCTAAGCAAACAAACAGAGCAATCCATGCCTTCTCGGTTCTACTTCCTCGTCCACGACCAGTCTTCAACGAAACAGGACCAGCAAAATCAACTCCAGTGTTCACAAACGCTCGAGCTCCACTCGTGATGCGATCGGACGGTAGAGATCCCATGATCTGTTGCATGGTTTCAGCACGTTGCCGTCGGCATACGATACACTTGTGAACAAATCGTCGGATTAAGTCTCGAGCTCCGATGATCCAATACGTTTGACGAATTGTGGCCATGAGTAACTGTGGACCAGCGTGTAAATTCTTCAAGTGTTCATATTGAATGATCAGCTCAGTCAATCTGTGACGTTTCGGCAACAAAATAGGATGCTTTCGATCGTAGGATATCTGTGCTAGGTCAAGGCGTCCACCAACTCGTAAGACTCCATCGTCGTCCAGAAACGGGCAGAGAGCGATTAAGTTGCTTTTTAGATTGCCAATAACCTTCTTTTTCATCAGATGGCTGATTTCCTTGGAAAATCCATCAGCTTGCGCCGACTTGATCAACAGCAATAAAGAGCTTTTCAATTCTGTCGTGTCGAGAGGACCAGACCTCTTGTATCTTGGAATCCATCGTCGACACCATGCTACCACACGTACCAGCTTAGAAAAAGAAGAATA